CAGCAATGAAGTTGGGATCTAAGTCCGACCACATTCAATAGACTCCTGTGAACCCGGGTGGAGACCTGGTTGGCCAGCAGTATGGCAAGACCTGGTGACTCCTGGACCCAGAGGCAATGACATGGCTGGCCACAGAGGACTAGAGTGAAAAGTGAAGCGTTCAGCTGATATGAAGTGAGGGGAGATGCACAAGAACACCCACACTTGACCTGGCTTCAATGGCTAGGTGATCAGAACTTGACTAGAAGAAGAAAGAAGAGGGGAAAATAAAAAGAGTGACGCACTACAGTTTGATGAACTTTACCTATATTTATAAGGAGCTCTGGTAGTGTAGTGGTTACAAATCGGGCTGCGAACCGCAAGGTCAGCAGTTCGAAACTACCAACTGCTCCGCAGGAGAGAGATGAGGCTTTCTGCTCCTGTAAACATTTACAGCCTTGGAAATCCTGTTCCGGGTCACTATGGGCCGGAACCAACTTGATGGCACTTAACAACAACAATAAACCTATACTTATGGATGGAGTAGCTCAAAAAAGGGAACAAATCTTTACAGCGAGGATCACTCCCACCTCTTTGGTACACAGGGTTGACAGGGATGGGCAACTTAGACATTGGCTACCCAAAATGGGGGGACTATAAAGGCAAGAAGTGACTGGCTTACAAGCTTTCAAGATGGAGCCTAGTTCCACACGGGGTGGGGGCGGGTAGAATCTCCACTGCATGTTTTCCAATCTGTTGGGACGGGACTAATGAAAGGAGATAGGAATATGACTCTTGTGGTACAATAGTGAATAACTGCCATCAGGACTGACTGTGAGGGTCGGAAATGTAAAAGTAGATGTTTCTTAACAAAAGGAGGGGAGTGATTGACTTTGCAGTCCTGGAGCAGAGGTCCATGGGACCATCAAGTGAGAAGAGTGGAGTGCGGAACCCAACCAAGAGAAGCAGTGATGCCAGAAATGGAGACAGAGATGATGATGTGGAGAGATGGAGTGGCTGGGGACTCTGGACCCAGGGATGGAGAGGGGCTGTATGTTGATGGCCTGGGGTAGGCTTGTGGGTTGTACCCTTTAGTTATTTGATGATGCATGGTCGGGACTGTAATCATTACAATGAGGCAAAATATGATAGGATGAATGTAAAACTGATGTTCTCCCATGTTGTTATTGTTAAGTACTGTAGAGTCGGTTCCGACCCATAGCGACCCTATACAGGGTATCCAAGGCTGTAAATCTTTACGGGAGCAGAAAGCCTCATCTTTCTCCCATGGAACAGCTGGTAGTTTCGAACTGCCAATCTTGAGGTTAGCAGCCCGTATTGTAACCCCACATAGTTCACAATACAACTTAAAAACAAAAGAAGGAAAAGATTGACTCGATGACGTGGACAGATGGAGCGGCTGGGGACACCGGCCTCAGGGAGGGAGAGAGGCGCTGTGGGGTACACCCTTTGGTTATTTGATGATGCAAGGAGGGGATTGTAATCATTGCAATGAAAAGAAATGATAGGATGAATGTAAAACTGATGTTCTCCCATGTAAACTATCACATTTTCACAATAAAAACTTTTTTAAAAAGGGAAAAAAAAAGAAATTGACTCAAGCAAGACACACTCTACACTAATTCATGTAACAGACAAACCATTGCCAAATGAGATTATAATATAGCCACAGGTATACAAGTTAGGAGTCTCGCTGTGGCGCTGTAGGATTAAACAGTAACCATGTCGGTGATTCAAAGCCACCAGTTGCTCCTTGGAAGCCCTATACAGGATGGCCATGAGTTGGAACTGACTTGAGAGCACTTAAGAACAACATAGAAGATTTACAACACACAGTTTTGAAGAACACAATTCTACCCATAACACATATGCTTATTTAACATAAGATAATAACAGTGCTATAATTTCTGACTCCATAATTTGATTTCTAGTTTTCTACTCTGTAAAAATCCTAAATAGAAAAAAAAAAAAATCATGTAAAAACCATGAACTGTTTTTGCTCCAGGACCAAGTTCAAAAGGCAAGGAGCAACAGGAAAAGAGGAACAATGGAAACGGGAAACAGGGAGACAAAGAATAAATGGTATTACACAGTGGAAAGAAATCGTGTATGAATTATTGAATGCAAAACCGATTTGCTCTGTAGCTCTTCACCCGAATCAAGATAAAAAGTTTTTAAAAAACATAAACTGCTGAGTCATTTGTCATTTGTAGTAGAAAAAAAAAGTTAGGATAACCCAAAGGTATACTTATAGGTGAAGGACAGTTTACTATAAATACTACTATGAGGTCCTGCTAACCGCAAGGTCAGTGGTTCAAATCCACCAGCTGCTCCTCCGAAGTCCTCCTATACAGGGTCACAGGAGACAAAAAACCACAACCAGGAACAAAATAAAAGGATGTTGATGTAGTTGTTGTTAAGTGCCATGGACTATGTTGATGTAGTAACACTATGTAATAGACAAATTCATCACTGGTTTAAGTGATGAAACCAGACATAGAAACATTAAGAGGGACAGCAAATGAAACTGAAATTGTATCAATGCGCTAGACTGCAAAGTTGGTTTGAACCACGAGGTCAGGTCGGTGGTTCAAGGTTACCAGCCTTTCCTAGGAAACCCTATACAGGGTCGCTATGGGTCGGAACTGACTCGACAGCACTTAACAACAGCAACAACATACTAATCAGGGAGCACTCTGGTAGTGAAGTGGTTATGAGATGGGCTGCTAACCTCAAGGTCAGTAGCTCCGAACTCCCAGCGGTTCCATGGGAGAAAGATGAGGCTTTCTGCTCCCGTAAAGATTAACAGGCTTAGAAACCCTATGCAGGGTCGCTATGAGTCATAACCAACTCCACGGCACATAACCACCACCACCCACCACCATATGGCAATGTAGGATAAGCCCTGGACTGCTAACCACAAGGCCAGTATTTAATACCCCCAGCTGCTCCTCAGAAACTCTATACAGGTTCGCTGAGTTGGAACGGACTGAATGGCACTTAACAACATGCCAGTTAGGATTAAACTTGAAAACACCATGGTTAAATCAAAATGGTTAGTTCTTCTGTAAACATGAACCATGAGAATAAAGTAACGTCATTTTTGCTCTTTAATTCATTTTACTAAAGACTTGTTTTTCTACATTCCTTCTGATGGCTGTTGTTGAGGAGCAGTTGGTGGGTTTGAACTTCCAACCTTGTGCTTCATACATAGTCCAGTGCTTATACTACAGCACCACACCAGGCTATTCCTAGGATTACCTAAAAAGTCATATTTAGATTTTCACAAACTTAGATTAAGACAAAATAAAATCTTCTGGGCAAATCATTCCTGTCTTAATAGTAACAGAGAACTTTTATACCAATATACTTACCATAATAAAGGGGAGAAATGCCACTTAATGTATCTCAAGAAGTTTACAGACCTCAATTTTCAGACATGGGAATTCAAAATGAAAGCATGAAAAGAAAACCTACATCAAGCAATTTAAGGATCTTTCAGATTACCTTCTCTATTCCTTCCAAAGGGATTCTATGTTGTTTCCATAAACAGACGTTCTTGAGAAATGCTAGCTAAATGCCCAATAAATTTTACAAATGTGAAAAGATCCACGTTAACGTTAAAACCACTAACAATGAAAAAAAGTGTCACGCCATAGTTTGAACTTCATTATTTTAATATCATGAAATACAAGTACAAAACATTGTACAAGATCTTACTACGTGAAGAAGGAACAGCACATTTGTAAAGTTTTCACTAGAACCTGTATCATCTAGTGCTAGCATGTATTCAGTCTCGCGAATAGAAAAGCTTACAACTCTTTTCCATCGCCGATTGACACTGATCTTATTAATATGCCTGGTAAGCTGCTTTGGAGAACCGTTAATAAATAGAAATCACTTTAGCCGAGAGTGCTGAGCTGGTAATCTTCTTTCACATCTGTCGAGGTCCCCTATGCTGCCATCACAAAGACACTGTGCACTTGTTTGGGATAAGAAAATGTGTGATATCAATAGCCCCCTTCCTGTTTACAAAGGCAAATTACCATTTCCTAAAAAGTTCAGAATATTACGACAGTTATTGGTTAACCAGTAATTCATGGAACCCCATTTACATCAGACAAATCAACAGCCAGAGCCTTAAAACTCCACATGTGCTGAAGAAAACCAAGTCTGTAAATACTGAAACTGTCTTTCCTACCTCTAAACTGGTTTAACCACATCAAATCAGAGCAACATCAACCCATAAAGACAAAGTAAACTGTGCTAGTAACCAAGCATTTAGTTTGTGGCCATTTCAACTTGGAGTTTCCCTATGATAAACAAAATATGATGAAAGCAGCATTTATTTTACTGGGAAATGTGGAAAAAAAATTACAACCCTGCTAATCTCACAAAACACTGGAAAATAATTTTTTTTTTTTATAAATAAAATGGCATTTACGTTTTAAAAAATTTTTAATTCTCATTCTTGCTGCTAAAAATAAATCATTCAGTTATGCCAATCTTCAAGGATAAACTTGGAGATATTTAAAATAACATATGTTTGGAAAATGGAACCACATTTTTAATTGCCAACATTATGCTTTGTTCTTGGTAGAATCATCTTTGTTTCTTCTTTTGACATCCCAGTTATAAACCCTGGCCATATCTGCAAGGGTTGTCAAAGAAAAGGCAAATGCAGTTCTAAAACCACAGAAATTAAAAAGACAAATACTGGTAACAACTAGTCTTGTAAGTCACCTTGCTACAATACCAAACTACTGGAACGAAATTCCGCCAAAACCAAATCAATCATCTTTTAGCCTATTTAGTCAGGGGTGGTGTTTCATGTAACAAATATGTCAAGTTTTAAAAATAGCCCCTTATCCTGACATTGCTAAGATCCTTCAACACTTCCCCTGCTATATAAGGTTGAAATCAATACAATTACTAGTAATCTTCTGTTTCACTCTCTAGTTTCACAGGACATTCATTCAATGTAGTTAACTCTACTGCTTCAGAGGCAGCACTGGACAGAGCCCGGAATACAGCTCTCTCCTAGAGCTTATCTTCCAGTCTAAACTCGGGGTCTCAGAGACTGAACACACCCGCTCCCTCCCAGGCACACACTATCAACAAGGGCATTTCTGCCACCTTGCCAGGCTCATCTTAGAGGACTTCCTTTGCTGAGGTTCCTATAGCTCCCCAGTCTCTGGATTCTTTTTGGTCTCACACTGAACACCTTTTCCTTTTTATAAGCACCAGCGATGCCTTGGCCCCAGACACACCTGCCTTCCCTCACACAAGCACTAAACATGAGGTAAAGAATAATTACGAGCTAATAACGAGGGTCTTGGTGTGAGGTTGTAGGGTCAGCAATGGACTGCTAATTATAAGATCGGTGGTTCAAACCCAACAGCCGCTCCTCAGAAACCCTAGACAGAGTCACTATGAGTCGGAACTGACTCCACAGCCCTTCACAACAACACTAACTCGGGTTATTGGCATAAAGTACACTGGGGGTTGGGCAGGGCAGGGAGAGATGATTGGCACGAAATGAGACTGACTGACGGGGCGGGGGGCACTTCATCAAGTACCTATTTGTTGTTGTTAAGTGCCATTGAGTCATAAAGAATCAGTGAAGTATTTTCCCCAGAGAAATAAAAATAAGATTTGTGATTTGATTTGATTTAGTACATGGTGTGAAGGACTGACGGGAGGTTGTACACTAGAGGCTTGATGACAGAAACAATCATGAGGCAAGTTTGACACAAATGCTGTGGCTGATCGCATCTCAGTTGTGAGGCAGACGTAAAAGTGACGGATACCAAGAGATACCTGTTGGCTGGGTCAATGAGTGTGGTAGAAAGCCCCAAGGAGACTTGGCTGGAGAGGAAAGAACCAGACACCAGCCTTCTCCATCCTGCACAACCCCCCACCATCTCTTTCCGCTGCTAATCTAAACCCTACACTGCCTTTAAAAGCAGTTCAAACTTTATCTTCTCAAGCAAGCTGTCCGTGAACGAACTCCAGTTCACATCTGTCTTTCCCTAGCTTTAAATTGAGGCGCTCTGGTGGCACGGTGGTTAAGTACGGAGTTACTAATCAAAAGGTGGGCAGGTACAGAAAGATGTGGCAGTCATCTACTTCTGTAGAGATCACAAATGGGGTCACTCTGAGGCAAAATCCACTCAATGGTATACAGCAACAATTTCAAAGGGCCTTGGTGTTGCATACATTAACCTGTATCTTGGTATGAAATGAACACTGAACAGTTTTGCATGTGTAGTGCTAATGAAGGACGACTTTTGGGCATTGATTCCTTCACCAGCCCTCTGCCCCCTCTGGCTTAGACTACAGGAGAACGTCACTTCCAGGGCAAGATGGCAGAGCAGGTAAGACAGGTTGAGCAACCTTTCTGCTGCAAGGACATGGGAGAGCAAGTGAAACAGATACAGACGGTGATCCTGGAACCCTGAGCTTCAGAGGACAGGCTAGAGAGCTAGACTAAGTGTCAACTAGAGGAGGACACAGACAAGTGGGCCTAGCATGGCCATCATGCTAGAGGTTGGGGGGGGGGGGGGCGGTTCTCCCTTGTTCCCAGCACCTCCTAGTGGGCAGTGGCTTGGCCAGTCCCTGTCTTCGCTCACCTGACAGTGGTAACCCTCCTTCCCCCCACATCTGGAACCTTGTGCCCACATGACCCAGTCATATCCATACCAAGGGCCACACCACTACCCACTCCTGTACAACCTGATCAACGATAATCAGCAGCCAACATCAGACACACCCACTGTGAACTACGCTACACAAACAGCAAACAAAGAGCTGCGTGCACAAATCCAGTCTCTATCGTACCTACCAGGAGACAGGTGGCCTGGGAACACACCAACATACAATCATCAATTACATAGCAACATGACACCAATATGTATCAGAGACAACAGTCAATTTCAGCTTACACGAAGAAACAAAACAACTGACCAAAATCCAGAGTCTGAAAATATAATACCAGAACTACTCAATAAGGAATTCAGAAGAATGCTAGTTAGGGACATTTAACAGACTGAGAGAATGATCGAGAAAAGTGCAGATGAAATCAAGGAAAACATAGGCAAAACTTTAGAAGAATTCAGGAAAACACTACAAGGACACACAACAAAATAAATGGGGAAAAAAAGTAGAAACAACACAAAAACTGCAACTAGAAATGCAGAAGATGAATACTAACATTTCCGAAATAGATAATACACTGAAAGGGCAAAGAAGTAGAACTGAATCAATGGAAAGCTGAATTCATGAACTTAAAGACACATCTCTCAACAGTCAGGTGCTAGAGGAACAATCAGAAAAAAGAACAAAAAATCCAAAGAAAATCTAAGAATTATGTGGGAGACCATCAAGAATAATTACTTACATTTGATCGGCATTCCAAACAAAACAAAAAACAGAGAAAGTTAAACCGTTGTTGCAAAAAAAGTTCCCTAAAGTGAAAGATAATCCATTCAAAACAGTTGAATGAACTCCAAACAGGATGTTGTTATCATTAATTCCAAGTAGTGACCCTGTACAAGGTTTCTGAAGAGCAGCCTGTGGGTTTGAACTGCAGACCCCTGTGGTTAGCAGTCCAGTGCTTATCCTACAGCACCACATCAGGACTCCCCAAACAAGATAGATTCCAAAAGAAAATCACCGAGACATATTATTATCAAACTTTCTAAAACAAAAGAAAAGGGCAGAATCCTAAGAGAAGCTCAGGAAAAACCAAAGTTACCTACAGAGAACTAGTAAGACTAAATTCTGGTTTCTCAGCAGAAACCATACAAGCAAGAAGATAATGGGGTGGCATATATAAAGCTCTGAAAACAAAAATTGCTGATTAAGAATCATATACCTAGCAAAACTGTCCATCATATATGACAAAATGAAGGCATTTCCAGATAAGCATAAAAAAATAATTTGTAAAAAAACAGACCAACCTTACAAAAAGTACCACAGGGAATTCTTTGGACAAAGAATCAATAAACCTGTAAAAGTGAAAACAAGGAATCAGAGACACTACTTTAAAAACAACAAAGAACAGTGTAGTTATAGAACTTCTAAATAAAGAGGAAATCACGTAGACTTCAAGAAAAAAAAAAGTAAGCAAATAAAAATAAAGCCACTGTAACTCTAAAAGTATACCACACTCCAAAAACGGGGAGTAGTTCATGTTACAGTCCAGAAACAGAAGACCCTATGATCCATCAAGGGAGAAGAGCAGGAACGTAATACAGGACCTCACCCAGAGAAGCAGTGGCACCAGAGATGGAGGCAGAGATGAGGACATGGAGAGAGAGAGCAGAAAATTATGTGGAACAAAGAATCTAGTAATACCACAAAGAAACACACAGCAAAATTACAGCAATCAATACATACCTATCTACAATAACACTACATATAAATGGATTAAATGCATCAGTCAAGAGACAGAAAATAGTAGAATGGATACAAACTTTGGTACATACACACTACAAGACGTTGAAGAATAATGATGAATCTGTGAAACACACCTCACAACATGGATGAACCTGGAGAACATTGTGCTGGGTGAGTGAAATTAATCACAAAAGGACAAAGATTCCCTAGGACCACCATCAAAGGAGAAGCGCACAAGCGGAATACGGGACCTTATCCAGAGAAGCAGTGATAAATGCAGAAAAGACTGAAGCTCTCAAAGACTTCATTTTGCTTGGATCCACAATCAATGGTCATTGAAGCAGCAGTCAAGAGATGAAATGAATGTAGTGCATTAGGCAAATCTGCAGCACAAGACCTCTTTAAAGTGTTCAAGAGCAAAGATGTTAGTTTGAGGACTAAAGTGTGCCTGACCCAAGCCATGGTATTTTCAATAGTTTCATATGCATGTGACAGTAGGACAGTGAAAAAGCAAGATCAAAACAGAATGGATGCATTTAGATGATGGTGTTGGCAAAGAATGATGAAAGTCCCATGGACTGCCAGAAGAACCAACCAATCTGTCTTGGAAGAAATACAGCTAGAATGCTTCTGGAAAGCAAGAATAGCAAGCCATTTCATCTCTTGTTCTTTGGACATGTTGTCAGAGGGAGCAGTCCTTGGAGAAGGACATCATGCTTGGCAAAGTGGAGGGACAGTGAAGAAGAGGAAGACCCCCAATAAGGTAGAGTGACACGGTGACAGCAACACTGGGCTCAAACCTCAGAACAATTGTGAGGATGCTACAGGACCAGACAGTGTTTCCTTCTGTTGTGCACACGGTTGCTGTGAATTGGAACTGACTCAATGGCACCTAACAACAACAGCGGTGTAAGTGAACCTTTGGCATTCTGTTCAATTAAAATGCATTGATCTAAAAAATTTTTTTAAAAAGTATACAGCACTCTACTCCGAGCCGTAGCCCAACCCCAACCACTAGGCCCAGTCCTAACCAACATAACCCTAACACTACAGGAAGTCCTAGGCTTAACCTATGCCTAGTCATAGTCCTAAGCCTAGCCCCAACTCACTCCTTCCTCATCTCCCTCAACAACCCTAGGGGGCAGGTTTACTGTCTTACAAAGTTGCTAAATATACTTGGAAGAAAAGTGTTCATTTTCAAATGTGAATTTGCTGTCTCCACACCTGCACATTTCAAATTAATCTATCTTGAAAGCTAACCGAAGTATTACCTCCAAATATGTATATAGTAGTCTAATTTTGCAACCTCTCATTAGCTCATTAGAAGGAGCTCTGGTAGCATAGTGGTTACGAATCAGGCTGCCAACCTTGAGGTCAGCAGATCGAAACTACCAGCGGTTCCGCGTGAGAAAGATGAGGCTTTCTGTTCCCGTAAAGATTTACAGCCTCGGAAACCCTGTGCAGGGTCACTATGAGTCAGAACCGACTCCACGGTACTCAACAACAACATTAGCAGAAGAGCAAGAACATTTATCTCAAAACTACAAGTAAGAAGGGGAGAAAAAAACTTACGACTTTTCACTTCCCCCATCCCTTGTTTTGAAAAGAAAGGATACTGACTTCTGTGGTAGTAAACTGATCTCGAAGGAAGTCTAGGTCTTCCTCAAGAGAATCAAGATTCTTTGTAGCAGTTGACAAATTCTTTTCCAGCAGTGCCTGAGCTTCATCAATATCATATTCAAGCATTACATTGGCCTAAAGAGAGAAAAGGAATGACAATTATAAACATTTACAGTGATTTACATATAGATAAGAGCAGAGCTTGGCAAATTAGGGCCCTCAGGCCAAATCTGAGCCCCTCCCTACTGTTATAAATCCAGTTAAAGTGAACTCCTACTAGGTTCCATTAATTTACATATCATCCATGTCTGCTTTTGGGCTACAGTGTTATCCACAAAGCTGAAGGCATTTACTCTTTGGCTCTCTACAGAAAACATTTGCCAACCCCTGGCTTAGTGAATATATTTACATATACTACAAGGGAACGTCAAAAAGCTTGTGGCAAAATTCCATTCACTTTTCATTCCATTTTCCCACAACTTTTCTGAAGCCCCCTCATATTTCAAAACCAACAGGGTTACTCATGGTGGACAAGTTTCCAGGGAACGTCCAGATGAAGGGAGACTACAAATGCCTGAAGACTGCCTGATCGTCTGGCAGCACATGAGTCAGGACAGGGCAATGCTCCATCCTGTTAGACATGAAATCGCTGTGAGTGAGTTGGAGCCAACTGCCAAGGGCCAGGGGAGAGAGAATGCAGTTACTGCTGAGTTTGGAAATGGATAGCGGTGATGGCAGTACAACATGGTGAGTGAACAGAATCCATGTTAATGAATCATACTTAAAAACAGGTAAAAGGCAAAGTTTTTATTCTATGTATTTTAGCATGATAAAAAAGTTACACCCAATTATCTGTGCCCTGATGAAAACTATACCACGAACAGATAATAAACATGCAGAAAACCGTAAACAAAGCAGTATACCTGAATCTGATTAAGCCAACAACCAATTTCTAGAAAATACAGTGCTCAGAGGAACATGTGAAATCACACCATGAGAATACAATCAGAGGCACACACTGTGGAAGACTTGGGTGCTCAGAAGAGGGTGTAATTAATGAAAGATTCAAGGAACGGAGAGCCACTGCAAACTCTTCTAATCAAAACTGATCTTCCCTGATTAACTGCCCTGAGGACACTGGTTCCAACTCAGAGCTACCCTGTACAACAGAACAAAACACCGCCTGCTACTGTGCCAGGCTCACAATTTCTGCTGTCACTGTGCCACTCCATCTCACTGGGGGGTCTCCCTCTTTGTTGATGCCCTCCACCTGACTAAGTATGATGTCCTTCTCCAGGGACTGGTCACTCCTGATGATAGGTCCAAAGTATGAGAGACAAAGTCTGGCCCTCTTGGCTTCTAAGCAGCATTCTGGCTGCACCTCTTCCAACACAGATCTGTTTGTTCTTCTGGCAGGCCATGAACCTTTAATAATCTTCTCCAACACCCTAACTCAAATACATCAGTTCTACTACAGTCTTCCTTATTCAGTTCCAACTTTCACATGCTTATGACTGGGTTTGCCTAGCCAGCTCCAATTGCATCAGTCAATTACCTTAATAAATTTATTATATATGCCTGAGTGGGTTTTTTTGTTTGTGTGTTTTTTAAAAAAAAGCTAAAATGGATAAAGAGAAATACTTTTAACTGATGGTACATGGAGGGGATTATAATCAATGTAATGAAACAAGGTATATGAATAGGTGAAACGTGAAACTGATGATGTGCCCTGTAAACTTTTACGCAATCCACAATAAAAACCTTAAATTAAAAAAAAAAACAAAAAACTATGCAGCCACTTTAGCTGATTCTCAATACTACGTGGTGGTGTGTCGTGGATTTGGTTTCGACTCATAGTGACCCTGTGTGGGGTTTCCAAGACTATAAATCTTTAAGGGAGCAGAAAGCCTCATCCTTCTCCCATGGGACCGCTGGTAGTTTTGAACTGCTGACCTTAGGGTTAGTAGCCCGACTCACAACCACTACGCTACCAAAGCTCCTTCAGTATTCTGTGGTTGCTGTCACTTTCGTGATCTGACGTAATGATCCTCTAAGTCCTGACTTGTATGGCTTCATGAGGCAGCCTTAGGTCCGGCTAATTAAGATCAATGAGAATTGTGAGGCTGGCTCAGGACTGGGCAGTATTTCCTTCTGTGCAAGATTAGAGTGGGACGCTGCGCCCTTAGGTCACAGCCCTGATCTGATGTAAGGGGGGTTTTCCTGGGCTGTGGCACGCAGCACCTTTTACCTTACAAAAGATAAAAGGAGGGAGAAGTAAGCAGAAAGAGAGGGACCTAATATAACCAAGAAATAAAAGAGTCGGAAGCAGAACCCATCCTTCGGGAATGAGGAACTCCTAGAACCAGGGGGAAATTGATGCCAAGACACATGTCGGTCCACAAGGAATACCAGGCCCACAGATGCTGATGAGATGAGAACTTTTCACCAGAGCCAGCAGGGAGAAAGCCTTCCTCGAGAACAAACACTGGGACTTCGGACTTTTTTGCCTCCTAACCTGAGAGAGGTGTCCTGGTGTGGCACTGCAGGCTAAGCACTGGACTGCTAACTACAAGATCAGTGGTTCAAAACTAACAGTCACTCTCGCAAACCTTATGCAGGGTCGCTATGACAGCACTTACCACCACCACCAAACTGTGAGAGAATCAAGTTGTTTGAGCCATTCACTCGAGAACTGAGAGAGCGGACAAGTGTAGAAGAGGGCCATCTACAGCCACCTTCCAGCCACTAGCAGCATTCTCCTGACTCCTACCAGCACCGGTTCATAATATGGTATGTGTTCTTCTGTGATCGTCTCTTGTGATCACCGAATTCCACACCCCCTCCTGTACCCCTCCCAGTCTTTGTAGTCTGTGATTATGTCATGAGGCAGAGCTGACCTCAATGCAAGATTGTCCAAGTGAACTTAATTCGAACAATGAGCCCTTCAAAAACAGAGAACTTTCACAGCTGGTGGCAAAAAACTCAGTCCGAGAGAGCTGAAGTGAAATAATTTCATAAACCACTACTGGCTTTCAACATGAAGCCAAGGAAAACAGGGGGCCTTTAAAGGCTGAGAAATAGTCCCTCCTTAACAGTCAGCTAGGAAATCGGACCCTCACTCCTACAAACAACAGGGATGAGCCTAGAAGTGGATTCTTACCCAGAGCTTCCTTTAAGAAGTACAGCCTGGCAGAAACCTTGCTCTCGGTCTTACGGAGCCCTGGGCAGAGACTACCCGGGCAAGCCTCCAGACTCTGACCTACAGAGCATCTACCAATTGAGCTGTGTCCTCTACCCTACCACCAAAACCAAATCTACATGAAAGAAATATTTATAATTCATTTCAAGTCCTAAGTCTTGTGACCTTATTTGGAAATAGTTTTTCTTTCAAATAGTTATGAGTCAAGTTTACTCGAGGTATAGGGTGAGTCTGAATCCCTTCTGTACTATGTCTTATAAAAAAGAACAGGCAGAGACACACAGGGAGAAGACACCACGTGAAGATGCATTGTAAAACCAAGGAACATTAAGGCTGGCTAGGACCCACCAGAAACTGGAAGAGAGCTGTGGAGCAGTTCCGCTCTGCCAGTCCTGAGAAGAAATCAACAGTCAATACCCTGAGATCAGACTCTCCGCCTTTAGAACGACGAGACAATAACTAATGGTCTCTTCTCCTAAGCACCCACTTTGCGATACCGAGAGAGACAGAGAGAAGAGTGGAAGGAATGTATGTGTTCAGCCTAAGCAATTTCTGCACATCCCTACCAGCGGAGAAGACTTCTGATTGCTTCACAGCCTCCAAAGACACAGTCCCAGCCATTCTGGTGGCTTTAACTTGCATTTCCCTGTCTACTAATGAAGTGCAACAACTTTTCATATGTTTAGGGGCCACTCAGATAGCTTCCTTTAAAAAAAAATGTCCATAAGTCACTACAGGAGTCCTGGTGGCGTGCAGGCTGATGGTTCACTTAAATAAGCTTAGAAACAAACACAATTACATTAGAAAAGTACAAGATGTTGAAAAACTTGAAAGAACACCGAGGTAAAAATTTAAATGATTACATTAAAAATTAAAACATCAGAAATACCAAAAACAAATGACAAGTGACAGAAAAGGAGACAATATCTGAAATGTATAACAGAAGAGTCTGTATACAAAAAGAACTGAAAGTCTACAGAAAAAAGAATCCCATAGAAAAATTAGTAAAGGAAACAAGCAAACAGAAGAAAAACTTCAAATAAACAGCTAAAAATGGTAAGATACCATTTTCACCTGTTAAACTGTCAAAAATGTTTAAAGGTGGTGTGTCTATGAATAAAATTATAATTTCTATATGGAAGAAAATGGAAATCCTTTGTCTTTTTGGAGTACTTTGATCATATCCACTGAAATCTTAAGTGTGTATACCCTTAAGACCCAGCAATCTGAAATCTGCAGGAAGCATAGAAAAAGATGCCTTGTTTGCACCTGTTTATATGCACAAACATGTTCTCTGCTCATCACTTAAGACACTTGGAAATATCATGGCATAGCCCAGAGTTTGTTCTTGCTGTTGGTGTTAAGTACCACTGAGTCGATTCCGACCCATAGCGAGCCTGTATAGGGTTTCCGAGGAGTGGCAGGTGAGCTTGAATCACCAACATTGAGGTTCCAAGGACGTTGCTGTCCAGTGCATTCATCCAGAACTCCGAGCAGACCTCTCCAGGAAGTAACAGGTCCCAGCTACCATTAACCTTTACCCCACACAGTTTTCCGAAATGAAGAAACAGCATAACCTACTGAAGAGGAAGAACATTTCTTGTCGTTGGTGGTTTTCAGGCAGATGCCTTGGGTTCTGTGGACAGAATTGATGAGGTGAACCAAAGACAAGGGGAATTAGATAGCCTACAAGTGCTGAGAGTTGTTCAGAATTCTTAAGGTAAGCAGCCTGCAAACGCATGACCGAAATCATTAAAAGTGGCTTCATCTGGGGACGGAGCAGTAGACCTGTAGCTTCCCATTGTAAGGCTTTCGGTCCTGTCTGATCTTTTAAACCATACGCATGCATAAATCTAATTTTAAATCATTCACCCAACAAATATTTACCAAAAAATATTTGTTGGGTGAATGATTTAAAATACATTAAAATACAACAAAAAAAAAGATACGTGCCAGACATTCTTCTAGGAACTGGAAACACAATTCCTCACTTACATTCAAGCAGGGAACACAACAGTAACCTAATAACCAACACACGGATCCATAATATGTCAGGGAGTGATCCATGCTCCAAAGAAAACCAGGGCAAAAGGAGGAGACCCAAGAAGACACTGTCAGCAGATGAGTCAGGGCAGGTCTCGAGAGAGACAGCTAATATCTTAAGAACTCAAGGCTGTGTGTGTGAAGAGAAGGGATAGGACTTTAAAAGGACTTTGCTGGTGGCTCAGGTGGTAAGAGGAGAAGCAAAAAATCAACACATCTCAAGAATTATTTTTTGCAGGATTGCTATATGCCAAGCATTACAGCCCTACCTGCATGTACTTACATTCTGATCGAGGAAGTCGGGGAAAACAGGCAACTAACATGTGGTATGTCATATTATCATTAGTGCTATGAGGAACAATAAAGCAGAACAAGAGCAATAGGAAGTGCCAAGCAAAGTGAGTCTTTAACAAGGATGGTCAAGGAAGACTGAGAAGGTGACATCTACACAGAGACCTGACAGAAGTAATCGATACCTGGGAAGCATGTTTCAAACAGAGCAAACAACCAGAATAAAGACCACATAGGCCATCATGAAATCGGTCCAGCCTGAAGCCCAGTGTGGCTAAGGCCAGAGAAATCATGGTTACCAGACTTGTCATCCATCCAAAAACCAATCTGGGTTTTCCCTTTAAATGAGATCAGAAGCCCTTGAAAGCTTTTAGGCAGAAGCAAACAAGTAGGTCAGTCATTCTTCCTGTAGTCCTGGTGGGAGGCAATGGTGACTTGGGTCAGAGTAGCAACAGCAGAGATTTTGAGAGAGAAGTTTCTGGACTCTCAATATATTTTGAAGATAGAGCTAAGAAGATCTGCTGATGAACTGCCTGAAAAGAGAGAGGGGTCGAAGATGACTCCAAGGGCTACGTTGTGAGCAACCAGAAATGGTTTGCCATTTCATGATGGGGAAGAGAACGCAGGGTTAAGGAAGAAATCTCAATTCAAGGGTTCAAATAAGAGGTATAGAATCAACGAAAGATCGAATGAGCTAGAGAGCTCAGGGAAAAAAATGCAGCGAAAGAGAAGAAGAAGAGTTATGAAAGCTAGAGTAAAAGCAATGAAACAAGTTATTCTGAGAGAGAGAAGACAAGCCAGAGGAAGCCACAAACAAAATGAAAAAGACCAAATATTTGAAAACTATACAAACACAGAAAATAGGATTGACACTGAAAACAAAGGAAATTCAAAATACGCTTATTTAATTATTCCCCAAGAAGATAATAAAAGAAATGGAACAAAAAAAATATCCAAAAACATAATGAAAACCATCTTTCCTAAAATAAACATCTGAATTTTGTGAATTCAAAGGTAACGCCATTTCTAGAAAAAAAATACTGAAGATCCATCAACACTGAAACACATTCAGGTATGGTTTACCGAGTGTGGAAACTCTAATTGTGGACTACAATGTGACAGTTGTACAGACACTAACAATAATATAACTAACAAAAATCAGGAGCTAGAACTAAGAAATACGGAAGCAAGTTTCCACGTGCTAATCGGCTCGTCTTTCACCCAATGGCCTCATAAGACTTTCCTTCCAATCAGCTGAGAGGGGAGAAAAAAAAATACAAAAAGAGGAGCAAAATACTAAAACCACAGGTCAGGTCTTGGAAATCATCTGAAACTATAATATACAGATTAGAAAATGAACTCTACCTGCAAGGTCTCTGTAATCATCTTTTCCTCCACAATTTTACAGGGATATTTGTAGAACTAATAAGCTCTCATGGGGAAGACACATTTACCATAAGTTAAGCAATGCTATTCTATTCCCTTTCCTACACTGTTACATGCAAGATACAGAAGATGGGGAGGGTTTGGGTCAGTTTGGTTTTGACTGGGAGACAGAGACTTGAGCATGTCTTTGCTGTGATCATTAAAAGTTGGAAACTTCTAAAGACAGTCTATTTTCACTATGAACCATTTGAATTCCACTGTTTCATTGCTTCCACAATCAAAGGGAAATAGGCAACAATACTGTTTGGTTGGGAAAGTAAGTGAGCGAGCTTACAAATGTCAGCTGAGGAAGCTATGCTATGTCTGCTATAGTTACTTACCCCCAACCACAGACACACTTTATCAGTAGGAGGAACTGAAGCTTTGCAGTACAGATTATCTGCCAATAAGAATCTGGTTTCCAGCGAATTGGTGGACTCCTTAAAAAAAATAAAAAGAAAAGAAAAGCTAGTACCATAAACAGGCCCATCTGATCGATCCCAGGGTTATTAGGGAGAGATTCCTGCAGAGTAAAGCGTAGCGAGAGACGAGACATGAGCATTTACGCCAGATGGCTGGGCGTAGATTCTGGCTCAGAGGTTACCAGCTGTATAAACTTGGCAGGACATGTGCCCTGTTTCAGAGCCTTCGTCTGTAAAATGACACTACTAATTGAAAATCCCTGGAGTGCTGGTGTGGCACTGAAAGATAAGCACTGGACGGCTAACTGCAAGGTCAGCAGTTCAAACTCACCAGCAGCTCCTTGGAAACCCTGTACAGGGTCACTGTGAATTGGAATGAACTCGATGGCACACGACAACAAACTCTGCATACCTGCCAGGAGTCAGAATCTACTTGATGACAACTCATAACAACAAGCAATAGTCCCTACACTTCCGAGGGTTGTGGTCAAGACGGAATACAAATGTACACACACACACACACACACAAACACATGCATGCAAAACTGTAAAGATCTGAATCAACTCAATGCACTGGACAAGAGTTAGCTATTATGATTACTTCAAAAGATTGGTGCACAATCAAGTAACAAATCCAATACGTATAGAAACAATCAGTTGAATAAAATAAACTCAGAAAATGTAATCTTGGCAGCCTGCTTTGAGCTAATGAAGAGCAGATTTAAGACTCGTGGGAGAAAGATGAGGCTTTCTACTTCTACAAAGATTTACAGCCTCGGAAACCCTAAACAGGGTCACTGTGAGTCGGAACCAACTCTAGTGCACTTAATGACAATAACAGATAAAGATTCCGAAGACTCTCAAATACAGTTCTGCCACTAGCTAGTAAATCTCTCTAGAACTATTTCCTCTACTGTAATATGAGACCATGTAACAGAATCATTTCCAGCTCTATAACGCTTTTACTCATTCCTTATTTGTTAAGGAGATGATACCTTAAAACAAGACAATGTCTTTCTTTCTCTAGAACATTTTCAAATTGCATTCCATTTTTACAAATACTACATACAAGTAAAGTAACTCATGAAGTATGGGCCCTAAAATGAAATCTGACTTGTGGGAAAAGCAATCATGTCACGTTGATCACAGAAGCACACTGTCGGTGGGACATGAGATGTGTGCTAAGGCAAGCAGTCAGGACAAGCAAACAGCAATGGCCGCCCTAGTTCACTCATTCTTACACACAGAACCGTACTCACTTTTTTCTTCTGCATGTATTTAAGAATTTCTAAAGTCTGCTTAATTTCCGGAATCTGACCTTTTAGCCTGTGAACAAGAGAAAAGGTTAAGTTAATATTCCGAGGTAAGAATAAAACTCCAGGATACATCTTGTTAGCGCTCTGTTTTCTGTTTACAAATATAAGACATATAATAGCAAATAATATGGAATGAATGCGCCGTTGTACAAAGGCCTGCTCCAGATGTCAAACATCCCATTACTATTTAGCCATGACCTTCCACAGAGGTGATCCAGAGGTTTCACATTTGATTTGAATTGCATTTTAAACAGATGAATTTTCACACTAAATTTAAATATAATGTGTTCCAATAATGCTGGCTTTATCGCCACAGGTTCCCTCTGCACGTATGCCTTCTGTGTACAGGTACAGTTCAGTGAGACCCTTAAGTGACTGTTACAGTAACAGGGGAAAATCAGCTCATGTCACTCCCTCTCCCTAAAAATCCCCGGACTCCGGACTCGGCCCTATTTCCTATCTGCACAGCGTGTGTCCCCTTCTAACTTACTATACATCTGGCTAGAACGTCAGCTCTGTGAGGGCCACAGTCTTCCATGTTTTGTTTAACTGGTGAACTCTAAGAGCCTGGCACATTTTAGGTGCAAAGTAAATACGAATGGAACGGAAATGAATGTTTGTTGTCTATTCCCCCCACTAGACTGCAACTCGCAGAAGGGCAGGAGTTTTATCTGTTTGGTTCATTGATGTAGCAGTGTCCATGAGTAGGAAGGCTACAGCTAGGTACAGTCATTTTCACCCTCCTCCTTTAGGCCGAAGGCTCCAACTAGAGCAGACAACTACAGCCAGCGCTGTAACTCACCCATGCCCCCCTCTACTCTAGTACTCCCATCCGCAGGCCAACAGTCTATGCTTTCCTCCATCATAAAAAACATCCTCAACTTTACCTCCCCATCCCCTTCTCTCCTTTTTATAGCAAAACTCCTCAAAACTGTCCATATTCAATGTCTCAATTGCCTGTCCTCCATTCTTGGGAATCAATACCCGTTATCCCTAAAAAAGGCTCATGTCAAGGCCACTAGTGACCTCCTTGCTGCCTAATCAGTGGGCAAGCCCAGGAGCACGTGACACTCCCCTCATCCGGAAAGACTTCTGGTTTTCCTCCTGGTGTGGAACTGCGGCATAAGCACAGGACCTTCTGGTCAGCTCGAACCTCATGGAAGGCAGTTCCAACCACCAGTCACTCCTCAGAAACCCTATAATGGGTCAGCATACTTGGAACCAAGAGCACTTAAGAATAATTGTTCCAATGCCTCAAGACTTGGTCCTGAGGTCCACCTTCTCTTCTCTATGACCTCTTTGCTTTATTTTTGTGTTGTAACTTTTCCTTGTGATTTGAAGTGAAGGTTTAAAGACAAGATCATGTTGACATTCCACACATTCTACACTTTATTTCATCTCCATGATGACACTCCCTGTGGCTTCCCTTTCATATCTTATAGTTCACAAATGAACAACCTTTGCTTTATTCTTTTCAGATAAACATAAACTTTCAGTATTACACAAGGAGGACAAGCCCATTGTAGAAAACTAATACAGGTAATGGAAAATAAAAATGTCTGATTCCACCACCTAGAGATTACCACCACTATGTGGCAATGGAGGATAAGCACTCAACCGCCAGGTGTTTGATCCTCAAGGCTGGCAGTTCAAACTCACCAGCCGCTCCTCGAAAACCCTACACAGGGTCACTACGAGTTGGAACCGACTCGACAGCACTTACCAATAACAACAGTGTAGATTCTTTCCAGTATTTCTGTGCATATGTACTCTTGGTGTGGCACTGTGGGTAAATGCGCTGGACTGCAAAGTCGGATTGAGCTGCAAGGTTGGTGGATCGAGGTCACCAGCCGCTCCTTGGAACCCCTATGCAGGGTCACTCTGGATTGGAACTGACTCAACAGCACTGAGCAACAACAACAAGGACTTTCCATCCTGAATACTCAGCCTGCATCCCAGTTCCCCAGTTCTTACTGCCATAGAAGAGGTGCCAAACTCAGAAACAACCTTCAAGACTTTACACGGCGATCTCGTCCTCTTGGGAGCTTGCCCTCAAATTCCTGGTCCACCTCTAGAGCACGCCTGCCCCTCACTGTATACAACCATGTCTACTGTTATGCTTTCTGCATATCTATCATCCCCACCCGTGGATTGTGTCCTTGCTGAAAGCAGATACTGCACCTCATTTCACCCAAAACATTAGCTGGCACTCTGCTGACTGACCGAGAACATTTTTATAGTCCCACCAGCCATGTATGAGGGTTCCAGGCTCTACACATTTACAGGGAACCAAAGGGAAAGTGCTGGTGTGGCGCTGTAGGATAAGGTCGGCAGTTCAAGCCCACCAACTGCCCGCTCCTCGGAAACCCTATACAGGGTTGCTATGAGTCGGAACTGACTCAAAAGCACTTAACAACAACAACAATAAAGGGTTAAACAAGGATAACCTTGTCTTGGAGAAGTCATTGGACAAACGGAAAAGTCAAGCTGTTAAGATCATAAAGGGTTTGGTATACAGTCTTCACTAATCATTCTATTCCGTTTTCGCATTCATTCGAACAAACACCTACCATACAACTCAACCAGTCCACTTCTAGGATGTATTCAAGAGAAATGAAACCCCAAAAATTGAAGCGCTAACCCCAGAGACTATGCCTCCTAAACGCCCTTCAGGCCTGGAACTCAACTTTCAGCCAAACAGCAACGTGCACTCCTTAGAACAGGCGTGGTGGGGAAAGTCAGGTCCATGGGCCATATTGGTGGTGGTGGTGTTAGTTAAGTGCCCTCTAATCTGTTCAGTGAGACGCACAGAGAACCTGAGTTATCGTGCAGCGCCACAGCACAACTCCCGTGAAATCATCTGGTCTGGCCCTGCCAAGACAACCGTAGCTCCAGCCATCACACTGTTGTTGCTAAGAGCCGTGCAGTCAGTCCCGACTCACAGCAACCTTGCAGCATAGGATTTCCAAGGAGCGGCTGGTGGGTATGAACCGCCGACCTTGTGGTCTAGTACTTTAGCCCTCAGTATCTCACACGAGGATTCCAGCCATCTCAGTGTTGTTGCTGTTCAGTACTGTCGAGTCGGTTCCAACTCATAGCCACCCTGCATAGGGTTTCCAAGTAGCATCTGGTGAGCTTGAAACACTGACCTTGCAGTCCAGCACATTAATCCACAGCGCCACACCAGGAGCCATCACGTTGTTGTTGTTGTGATGTGCCCTGGAGTCGCTTCTGACCATAGTGACCCTGTCCAGGGTTTCCCAGGCTTATCCCACTGAGTTGATTCTAACTCCTAGCAACCTATAGGACAGAGGAGAAGTGCTCCATGGGCTTTCTGAAGCTGTGACTCTTTCTTCCATGGAACAGCTGGTGGGTTCAAATCGCTGACATTATGCAGCCCAACGCATAACCATGGTACCAGCAGGGCTCCGACTTGAAAACAGGCTAACGGATTTGACTGTTACTACTGACTGACAGTGACTCTGTATAGGGTTTCCAAGCAGCGGCTGGTGAGTTTGAACCACCAACCTTGTGGTCCAATGCTTTATCCCACAGTGCCCAATGGGTGGGGGGGGGGGGGGGGAAGGCCAGTGGTTGCCTCTGGGGGCAGGAGCTGGGGACACAGCTGATCTGAAAAGAGTAGGAGGGGACTTCTGAAGTAAGGGAAATGTTCTATACATTGATCTAGGCAATGATTACAAAGTGGACATATTTGTTAAAATCCATCAAACTGAACAGTTCAAATCTGGACTTTTGGTGAATGTAAAATATGCCTTAATCCCCACCCCTCCCTCCCCCTGCCCCCAAAAAACACACAAAAAAGCAAATATTCAAGCAATATAAAATTTTGAAAAATAAAAAAACTTGGAAAATTTTGAGCTTACCTCCTTTTCTTTTGAGCAAGGTTGAGTTCCATAAACTTATACTTCTGATATTGTTCATCCAACTTCTTCAAGACTACATCTGCAGTCTCATTCCCAGGCTGCTTCATGAAGGAATCGACATCTTCCTTTAGTATAAAAAGATTTTTAAAAAAAGGTACTGTAAACTTAAATGTTGTTGTTGTTGTTGTTAAGCTGGCAGCCTGATTCATAACCACTACATTACCAGCAGTCCTTACTATATCTTAATTGTACCTACAAAAAGTCAAAGACCATTTCAGACAAGACCCATTCATTACGTAGCTAATTTATCCTTCCTTTAGTCTCTCTTATTTTATTTTTTATCAACAAATAAGAAAACAAAGATGCTCTTGCATACCCTACGTGGTGGTTCACACTCAAAAGCCACTCCTCAGAACCCTTATACAAGGTATGGTTCAGAAATGCACTTAACAACAACAGTCCATGACTCAATGCTAATTAACTAAGAAAGAATCTGGAACTAGATGAAAAAAGCAGAAACTTGAAGGGGATTCTAAAAGCATCTTCTAGTACTTTAAGTATTTTCTGAAATTGATGCTTATTTTTCATCAACCTTATTTTAGTTTTCTAAGAGACTGTGGAAGAACAGCTTAAGACCAAGGACTTTTAGATCATTATAAATAACTTAAAGTCAATTTTCTTACAGCTTCTGTGATTTCTACAGCACTCTTCTTATCCATGGAGTCTTGGTGTGGTACTATAGAATAAGCACTGGACTGCAAGGCTGGTTTAAACCAAAGGTTGGTGGTTCAAACTCACGAGCTGCTCCTCGGAAACCCTACACAGGGTCACTATGAGTCAGAAATGACTCAATGACACTTAACAACATTCCTATTCATGCTTAATAGCTATCAGGAAGTATTTTAGCTGAAACCAGGCAGGATGAAAAAGGAGAATCACAGCCAAGGAGTACAGTATGATGCCATCAAGCTAGAAGCACCTTGAAAGGAAATGAAAAGATGAGGCTGAGAGTGAATGACTGAGCTTTTTCTGTGTGAAATGGAGATGCTATATCTATCTAAGTACCAGAAACTTGTCTGGAGTCCGGGTGTGGCGCGGTGGGTTAATGTGCTGGACTGCAAAGTTGATTAGAACAGCAAGGTCGGCACTTCAAGCTTATCAGCTGCTCCTCGGAAACCCTATTAACAGGGTCACTCCTGGGTCGGAACTGGCTCCACAGCACTTCACAACAACAACAACAACAATCGCAGCACCTGATACAGGTGATGAGGAGCTTCAAGTCCAGCAGTCAGAATGAACAGCAGCAGCATGGGATTGTGGTAGAGTGACAGGTGTTGCCTGGTTTGAATCCTGGCTTCACCACTCACGAGCTAGGTTGACCTTGTTGTTGTTAAGTGCCTTTGAGTCAACTCCAACCCACAGTGACCCTGTTGGCTTTAGGGAAGTTATATAACCTCTCTTTGCCTCACTTTGTCCATCTGTAAGAAGGAAATGAAGGAATCTTTTCCTCGCAGGGTATTAAATGAGTTAGCATGTTCTGAAATGTTTAGGAGAGTACTCAATAAATAGGAGCCATGGCACATCGGTAATTCAGTGGTCAAGTTCTCACCTACCATGAGGGAGACCTGTCTGTCAATTCTGCCAATGGAAGTTTACATGTTGCTATGATGCTGACAAGGAAGAAAGTCTTGGGACCTACTTCTGAGAATCAGCCATTGAAAAAACCCCACCGCAGTATTCGAATGAACTACGCTAGGAGAAGGGGGGATGGGGAAAGGCAGAGGGCTAACAGAAAGGGAGCCTGGGTGGTAGCGGGTTAAGTTGCTGCCCGCAAAGTCAGCGGTTCAAACCCACCAGCTGCTCCAAACGAGGCGGCTGAGGCGGTCTGCTTCCAGAGCAGACCTAGGGAGCAGTCCTACTGACCTATACAGTCGGAACGGACCTGATGGCAGCGGCTTGGTTTGCTTTTGGTTTTATCAAAATAGGAGCTCTGGTAGCGTAGTGGTTACGAATCGGGCTGCAAACCTCAGGGTCAGCAGTTCAAAACTACCAGGCTTTCTGCTCCCGTAAAGATTTACAGCCTCGGCTACCCTGTACTGGGTCCCTAGAAGTCAGAACCCACTCCAGGGCACATAACAACAACATCATGGTTCCAATATGAAAGAACACCCACCTACTTCTGAAAACGTGGCAACGATTTAGGGGAGGGAAACAAAGGCATTTTAAGGTAAAACTGTATAAAGTCCTGAGATGAAGTTCATCCTCTTGAATTCGGTCTGGGAACAGCACGAATGCCGTGTGTAAGGGGCAGAACTACCCTGGGCGGCAGCCTGGTACCAAGCGGAGTCCCCTGCAGAGCCCTTTCAACTGCGAGCTCGCAAACCCTGGGCAGGGTCTCTCTGGGTCGGAATGGACTCAACGGCACTTCACAACAACCAGCTGAAAGGCTGGGTTTTCAAAGCCACCCAGAAAGAAAGTTCTGGACAATCCTAGGGGGCAGTTTTACTGGGCACGAACGGGGTTGCCACGAGTGGAGACTGAATGGGAATTGACGGAATGGCAACCAGCAACCGCACTCGCCTCCCTCCAGCATACTGAGACCCATAAAGGCTGGAAAGCCCCCCCAAGACCCGCCTTCAAATCCTAGCTACTCCACTTCCGGTCTCTGCGACCCAGAGCAAGTTACTCCGGGGCTATGGGCTTTAGCTTCAGCATCTGCAAAATGGAAATCAGACTAATACTCCCCTGCTCAGTAAGCACTGGCCTGCTAACCTCAAAGCCGGCAGTTCAAACCCACCAGCCGCTCCTTGGAGACGGCCCTTAACAACGACACAGCTTTACTAAATCCTTCCAAATGGGCGGGCACACAGTAAACACTCAAATAGTATGTATCAAGGGCGATGCTGTGGTTGTTGGTAAGTGCCGTGGAGTCGGTTCCGACTCATAGCGACCCTGTACAGGGTTTCCGAGGGTGTAAATCTTTACGGGAGCAGAAAGCCTCATCTGTCTCCCGCGGAGCGGCTGGTAGTTTCGAACTGCTGACCTTAAGGTTCGCAGCCCGATTCGTAACCACTGCGCTACCATGGTTGAGAAATAATTCTAACTAAATGGCTCAGTGAAAAAACAAACAAAGAAAGAGTTACGAAATTTTCTAAGAAACGCCAATTTATCAACGGAAGTTGGTCTCACAGGCTTTTGGGGACCTTGAGACACCATCAGCAGACCAGGTAGAAAGGAAATCAGGATGCCACCAGGCCGCCGGGCTGCACCGCTGGCCACGGCGCCCTGCTTCCTCCAATCCCATTCCGAAAGCGGACCCAGGGTCGCCATGGGGGCCAGGCACACCACACCAAGCAGCCAGGCTCCTCTCCCTCGGGCGACTTCCAAGTGCGTCCCCCACCTTTTCGCTCACGGCCATTCTCCCTCCACTAAGTTGTTAGAAAACGCTGACCCTCAAGCCAAGCAGGATCACCTCCGGGGCTCGACTCCCAAAGCGCCCCCCGGCTAAAGCTAGGTCCCTTCGCAGCTCGGAAAGGGCACAGGCGCCTTGACCTCCGTGACCGTCCCGGGCCACGGCGTGCCTGCCACAGACACTGTCCTGCCCGCCCAGTTCCCGGTCTCACCAGCATCTAGGCTGAGTCCAGAGCTCTTCAGCACCTTCTCGTGTCTCCAGAACCCCAAAAGCTGCGGCCGCCGGTCCCTCGGGTCACCCCGCCCCGCGTCCCCTGCTCCCTCGAGACGCAGTTCCTCAGGGTGGGCCCCAGCAGAACTCAGCCCGCCTCGGCAAGGCATGGCAGAGCCGCCGGACTACTCCCTCCCTCGGCGCTACGCTCAGCTCCGGCCCCCAGCAAGGGTCAGGCCGCGGTCTCAGGCCGCGGAGCCGAGGAGCGGCCTGCCGCTTACCACAAACACGGCCTCAGGAATCCCCAGGTGAACCCGTCGTCCATTCCCTGTGGCCGCTTCTCCTGAACCAGCAGCAGCACCCTTAGCGGCCGCCATCTTGGTGAAGCGCGACTGACTCCCAAACCGCCAACCCGCCCGAGAGCCGTGATTGGTTCACCCGCCCCTGCAAACCCGCCCCTTTGCAATGAATCTGTGTCGCCATTGGCGCCTGGGAAGAAGCGGCTATTCTCGCACATTCGCCCAACCTCCGGGTGCCGATTGGCTGCTTGAAGAGTGACAAGCGTGGAAGCGGCTGCCAAGAAAAAGATACGGGCTTAGGGAAGGACCAATACGCACCTCTGTGATACGTCTCAGTGATTTTGTGGATGGGTCGGGCTGGAGGGTCCCGGGAATAGGCAATCAACCCAGACCCCACCCCACCCCACCCCAGAGCTGGCAGCACCACCCTCCAGAATGGCATCCCGAGCTACCCTAACTCCTCTCGGACGCGAAAGTACCTGGGACCCAGACGCCGACCATGTGGGCTAGACCTCTGTGCCTTTCAACATCCCAGGGAGCTACCTGCTCCTGCCAGGGGACTTCCTTTGTCTCATGGACTGAAGCCACTGGCCCGATTTTGGTCAGTGCTCCTCCCATCTCGTAGTGGCTACAAATCGGGCTGCGAACCGCAAGGTCAGCAGTTCGAAACTACCCGCTGTTCCGCGGGAGAAAGAGGAGGCTTTCTGCTCCCGTAAAGATTGACAGCCTCGGGAACCCTGTACAGGGTCGCTATCAGTCGGAACCGATTCCACGGCACAGAACAACAACCTCCCGTCTCCCGAACCTTTGTGGACACCACCTTTGATCAGAATCTTGTCATACCAGCTCAGAGGTTTCCAAACTTACTTTACATTTAAAAGTCTGTGAATTCTACATACACTTCTAGGCTCACAGACTTCCCCAGCATCGCCCGCCCGTACACCACTTTGAAAGAAATGCTTTTTTTCTTTGATAGCAAAAATTTATCCTTAGGTCTGGTGTGGCACTGTGGGTTACTGCACTGGGCTGCAAAGTCGTTTAAACTGCAAGGTCGGCGGTTCAAGCTCACCAGCTGCTCCTTGGAAACCCTATACTAGGGCGCTGTGGGTCGGAATCGACTCGAGGGCACGCCACAGCAGGAATAGCAACCACCATGCTTGTGCAAACCTTTGCTTTCAGTGGAGTGCTTCCCAAGGAGTCCTTTACCCACGAACACAAAGTCTGTCTTGATTCTGACCATCTATGAAAAATTGTGTGGATCATGACAAGCTATGGACAACATTGAGAAGTATGAGTATTCCAGAACACTTAATTGTACTTCTCAGAAATCTGTACCTAGACCAAGAAGCAGTTGTTCGAATAGAACATGGGAACACTGAATGGTTTAAAATTGGGAAAGGTGTGAGACAGGGTTGTATTCTTTCACCATACTTATTCAACCTGTATGCTGAGCAAATAATATGAGAGGCTGGGTTCTATGAAGAAAAACGTGGCATCAGGATTGGAGGAAGACTCATTAACAACCTGCGATATGCAGATGATACAACCTTGATCGCTAAAAGTGAAGAGGACTTGAAACATTTACTGATGAAGATCAAAGAGCACAGCCTTCGATATGGATTACATCTCAATGTCAAGAAAACAAAAATCCTCACCACTGGACCAATAAACAACATTCTTATCAGTGGAGAAAAGACTGAAGTTGTCAAGGACTTCATTCTTCTTGGATCAACTATCAACACTCGCGGAAGCAGCAGTCAAGAGATCAGACGACGTATTGCACCGGGCAAATCTGCTGCACAGGAACTTTTTAAAGTGTTGAAGAGCAGAGATGTCAGCTTGAGGACTAGGGTGCGCCTGACCCAGGCCATGGTGTTTTCAATAGCCTCATATGGATGCGAAAGCTGGACAGTGAATAAGGAGGATCGTAGAAGAATTGATGCCTTTGAGTTGTGGTGTTGGAGGAGAATACTGAGGGTGCCATGGACTGCCAAAAGAACCAATAGATCTGTTTTGGAAGAAGTGCAGCCAGAGTGCTCCTTGGAGGCCAGGATGGCTAAGCTTCGTCTCTCCTACTTTGGACATATTGTCCGGAGGAAACAGTCGTTGGAGAAGGATGTCATGCTGGGTAAGGTGGAGGGTCAGAGAAAAAGAGGAAGACCCCCAACGAGATGGATCGGCCAGGTGGCATCATTGATGGACTCAGGTGTGGCAGCGGTAGTGAGGTTGGCCCAGGATCGGACATTGTTTCGTTCTGCTGTGCATGGGGTCGCTATGAGTCGGTTCCGACTCGATGGCACCTGACAACAACAACACAACATGAAAAAGGGAGAAATGCCAGTTCCCTTCCTTGGTTGTTGTTGTTAAGTGCCATCGAGTCCGTTTTGACTCATAGACACCTTGTATAGGGTTTGAGCCTCTGACCTAGGGGCCCAGCACACCAGGACTCCCCCTTCCTTGGTGGGTTCCCATATATCCAATGATACTAGAGGCTAACAGTGTCAGCAGTGATGGGCTCAAGCTTAGCAACAATTATGAGGGGCCTGGGAAGGGTTGCGTTCAGCTGGGCATTAGGTCGCTAAGAATTGGAACCAACTTGACAACACTTAACACCAACAACACTTGTTTTATTTACTTTGAACTTTGTATTGTAAATTGAGTGAAAGGTTACAGAGAAGATCATTAATTTTACATTCAAGAAATCTCAATGATTGCATTCCCCTCCAAGCAACACCAGTGATCCCACTTCGTCCCCACCTTCCCAGCCCTTCTCAACTTGGTCCTTAAGTAAATGGTGCCCTTTTGATTTTGAATGATTGATTTACTTCATGATGAGCAGACCTTACTAGTGTTGTCGTCCCCTAAGTCTACCTATCTACTGCTTGGCTGAAAATTGGGCCATGAAGGTGAATTCCTTTCCAGACCTGAACGATGGTCAAGGGCCAGAGTCTCCGGTTCCTCCAGTCTCTTTCTAACCAGTAAGCCTGGTTCTCTTTGTAAAATAATAATGTTGAGTTTTAGTCTACATTTCCTCCACTCTATCCAGGACCTGCTAATGTGTCCCTTTCAGAGCAGTTGGTAGTGGCAGCTGGGCACCATCTAGTTCTTCTGATCTCAGAGCTGTGGAGACCCATGTGCACATGTTCCAATTAGTCCACTGGACTAATTGATTCCAAGCACCTTCACTTCTCATCACTCCTGTTTCTTCCACACATGGAGAGAAAAAGAGCTGCTCCTTATATGGCTGCTCCTGAGCCTTTATGATCCCAGATGTTACTCATCAATGCAGGATGTAGAACACTGTCTTTGTGGACCCCGTTATGCCAATTGATCATGGTGTCCCCTGAGACTAGCTAGGGTCCTGTGCTCTCAGACCCAGCAATTCACTGCCTTAAGAACTGTAAGTTTTCATCATGATCCACCACATTCAAAGAACATTGTATTGTTGTTGTCATTGTTAAGTGCCATTGGATCTGTTTTGACTCATAGCAACTCTGTATAGAGTTTTTGAGGAGCTGCTGGTGAGTTTGAACCACTGACCTTGTGGTTCAAACCGACCTTATAGTTGAGTGAGTACCCTACAGCACCACACCAAGACTCTAAGGCAATTGTTATGTCTACAACTTGACAAAAAGACAAACAACCCAGTAAAAAAAAAAAAAAAAGGCAAAGAATTTGAACAGCCGTTTCACTAAAGAGATTATTCACGTGGCCAACAAGGGCATGAAAAGCTATTTAACATCATTAGCCCATGTTATTTGAGTTGGCTTCTACTCATAGCGAGTGACCCTATTTGTGCCTTCCGAATCAAAGAGATGCTGTGACCAACAGAATGAGACCCATAGCGACCCTGCACAGGGTTTCTGAGGCTGTAAATCTTCATGGGAGCAGAAAGCCTCATCTTTCTCCCACGGAGCAGCTGGTAGTTTTGAACTGCTGACCTTGCAGTGCACAGCCCGATTCGTAACCACTACGCTACCAGAGCTCCTTTTTATATCGGTTATGTTGTTGTTGTTGTTGTTGTTATGTGCCGTGGAGTCGGTTCTGATTCATAGCGACCCTGTACAGGGTTTTCAAGGCTATAAATCTTTATGGGAGCAGAAAGCCTCATCTTTCTACTGCGGAATAGCTGGTAGTTTCGAACTGATGACCTTGAGGTTCACAGCCCAATTCATAACCACAACGCTACCAGGCTATAAATGGTTATAATCTCATTGGGGAAAGGGTTGTCTTTGTTGTATTAACGAGACAGGATTAGTGTGGCCATGTTTCTTGAGTCGTTTTCTTGTGAGATATAAACAGAGCATAAACAAGCAGATCTGCAGCCACCATGAACGCCACGGGAGCCTTGACTGATGGCAAAGTCCTACAGAAACGTCTCCTAATTGATGGAGACGGTGCTGGAGATGATCCAAGAAGCAAGCTCCTAGTGAGGAGTCTCATTAAATTGTGCCACCCTGGATCCCAGGAAGAGGGCTCTACTTAGCACCAACATATGCTGAGCACACAGCCACAATGTGAATTTTCAAGGGTCGAAACCTTGCTGGTATACGATATGAATCTCAGAGAAATAGAAAATTATGAAAACATTTTTACAAAGACATAGAATGTAGCATTACTGGAGCACGTGAAAAAATTACTGAGTGCAAGAAGCAAATTAATTCAGGGAAAACAAATACAAAAAATCTCCAAGAACATGATGCTTTAGCAAAAGTCATTCAGCATCATCCAGACAGGCGTGAACCATTAAAGGAACTCTGTCTGGGAAAAGAAGGAAAGCGGGAATTGAGACAGAACAGTTTCACGCTCTGTGGACTTCAGCAAGCACTGGGGAATAATGGGGCAAAAATGACGAGGTAGAAGCAGCTCAGGAACAAGCATGCAAACAGATTCTAAGCCATAGACAAGGAAATTACCAAGAATATTGAACTAGCGATATGATCTTAGTGTTTAGAAATTCTTGTGCTCTTGAGATAGGTAAAATGTCTACCATGATATTTTAAAACACTTTGCTTTTAAAATCAGTGCACATTTTATTTCTATTTCTTCATACAAAAGAAAACAACTTCAGTATGTATGTATGCGGCTTGATGAAAATTCCTTTTTATTCTTAACCTTTAAAAATC